CTACTGATCCAACTCTTAACGAACATCAAAAATGTATATTAGCAGACATATCTCTAACAAACATACAAGCACTCACTACTTTTATCATGTATTGTAGCCCATTTACACAAAATCAGCTAATTTTTTTGTGTGTAAAATCCCTCGAGGGTGTGAACGTGCTTGTGTTTCTGAATGCTTGTCCAAAGCTGAAGTAAAGGGACTTCGATCCTTTTCAAAAAAACAGCACAGATGGTTCAAAATAGGGAAAGGGGGAGAGAAGAGGACACATTGGTAAGGGGTTAAAATGGGAGGGGTGCTCTTAAAGGCACAACGCACACTTAACTTTCACATTTTCAGCATGTCTACGTGCTATGAGCATTTTTCCCTTTGTCCCTCGTCCTCCTATTTCCCCTGTTCAAAACAACGGTCGTTTTGAGAGAATCGCACTCCGTAACAGCAGAAAAAGGGAAGCCCACAAGGAAGTGCTGCCATGCATTCCCTCCTCAATCCCCAGCCCCTCCTCTCCTCTTCTCTCCTCCTCTCCTCCCTCTTCCTGCTCAGGCAAGCCCTGCGAGTAGCACATCATATGACGGAACTAACAAGACTGCCTGCCTCCACCAAATGTGGGAATCAATCAAAAATGCATGTCTCGTGGCAGAAGGAACGACAGCCTATGCAATACAGAGGGACAAAGAGAGGAAAAGAGCAAAAGAAAGAGACAGACAGAGCAAAAGTGCAAGCCAGGAAAAGAAAAGGGAAAAAAACTGCACTCAAGCAAGCATGCTGCTGGGAGAGGGAGAGAGAGAGAGAGAGAGAGAGAGAGATGAGAACGGCGTGTAGCACCGTCAACGGCTTCTGAGAAACTGCACACAGGTGTTCCTGCCCCCCCCCCGATTGGTCGCACCTCCTTCTTCATAAAAACCCCTCCCCCTGCCTTCTGTAGTACTACAATCACAAGCGGCGATGGAGAGAAAAAGACAGAGAGAAAAGGAGGGAGGGAGCGAGAGAAAGAGAGAGAGAGAGGACAGAGCAGGCAAGTGTGGCTTCAGACTGCCTGAGCATGCAATCGCAACACGCTCGTTTATTTACCCGGCGAAATGCCGCGATTCGATTCAAAGCTGAAGCTTTCTTTTTTCCCTCCCTTTTCTCTCTAAATCCACTTTGCAAAGGTCTGGTGAGACGTAGCTACTTTAAATGCACAAATCTTTACTTAGGAGTTACTCATACAAAACTGCTGTTATTTCAGCCCTGCAGGTTTTTCCTTCGGTCAAAGCAACTAACGCATTTGTTAGATATTGGCTGTATTATTTTAAAAAAAACAAAAAACAGGGTATTTACAGCACTCTCTAATTGCAAGACAGCAGACAATTAACTTTTTGTTGTTCTTTAAAAAGATATTTTTTATTTATTATTTTAACCACTATGGATCTGACAGCAGACACGGGCCATGATAAATGACAAACTCTAGCTTTTAACAAAAGTGAGCACTTGAAAGAAAAACAGTGTGGGGTTTTCCTTCGGTCAAAGCAACCAACGCATTTGTTAGATATTGGCTGTATTATTTTAAAAAAAACAAAAAACAGGGTATTTACAGCACTCTCTAATTGCAAGACAGCAGACAATTAACTTTTTGTTGTTCTTTAAAAAGATATTTTTTATTTATTATTTTAACCACTATGGATCTGACAGCAGACACGGGCCATGATAAATGACAAACTCTAGCTTTTAACAAAATTGAGCACTTGAAAGAAAAATCAACAGTGTAGGGTCACAATAAAGAATATCATGAGACAAAAACAGCTCAACAGGGAGAAACTAACACTACACACACACACACACCTCAACAGGTCTTCCCCTTCACTACTTATCAATAAACCTGAAATCAGTTTTCACTTCAGTAACACAATTTTTCCCTACTACTCACAAATACACACATGCAGTCAGATGAGCAGCTACATTACTTTACACTGGCATTTTGGAAATAATAATTCACTCTTTTCACATTCCAGTTCATGTTTCCCAAAGTACATCCTTATTGTAATTTTTATTAGTATATTTACAATAAATATTTCTATTGCAGTTCTATACCCACGACTTGCACTACTTCTCTACTGCATTATTCAGTTCACAAAGAATTAGCCTCTGCCACAATTTGTCAATATTCATCCCTACTGTTAAAATTCCTTTTTTTGAGAGAGAGAGCGAGAGAGAGAGAGCAATAAAATGTTGCAGCAAAAACATGTTGCTTTCTGGACCTTGATAGGTGCTTACAAGGGGAAGGGAGCACGCAGAGTAGCATCTGGAAGAAGGGGGAAGGGCCATTGTTACACTTTTAACACCCGGTATTGTCATAAAGGTGTGTCTCTTCCCCTTGTCTCTAAATCTCTCCTGCCGAAGGACTTCAAAAGTGGCCCATCAAGCCATTGCAAATGGCCCCGTCACACCAATGCAACATTACATAAAGCAGGGAGAAACTCAAGGCGTGAGACATGGAGCCGCCCACACAGCTCTATGCACAAAACATTATGGCTTACTCACTACACCCTCTATGGTCTTCACTGTATTCTTTGCACACATTTAACATCAGTTTCACCAACAACTACTTTATTACAAGCATATTACTTTAAACAACTGAATACAAAAAAGCTCTTGATATCAGCTTTTGGTGGTCTTGATGTGTTGACAAGTTTTAATTATTTGTTTATTTTCAACAATAAGACGTCTTCAACAAAACGCATTTCAAATTTTCCTTATGAGCATTACATAAGTCAGACCCAATGTTACCAGATGTAAGGGGTGTGCACAATAGCAAAGAAGCTGCTCTGACCCTCCACCCCACCCCAAATCTTGTTACTCATCCTGCATTCACACTTCTCCAAAGCAACACATGAAACCTGAAGCAATTGAAATGTGTTCATGCACAAATTAAGCAAAAATATATCTATTTGAATTGGACAGAGTCACAATTCCACCAGCACATACGCATACAACACAACAAAGGGTCAAATCAACATATATGCTGACCTGGGGGTGAACGCTGCTTATTAAAGTCCCGCACCTCAGAGGCCAGCCCCACAAAGACGTTTATCAAAATGGCGACGAGTAACAGTTCCACCCTAATCAACATTTCTAATGCATTTTCCACAACTCTGGTTGTGTTTTGTGTATGTGTGTGCGCGTGCGTTCCGCTTACTTGGAATTTTCAACTCAAAAGAACCACACAACGTCTCACCAGAGCAGACTATACGAATTCTAAAATTATCATACGCACACAGGGAGAAAAAAGTCCCTTAAGTAGCCTATAAACATAAATAGCAAAATATGTGAGTTTAAGAGCAAAACGCATTTTTAGCTAAAATATCTCACCGAGCAATTATATTAAGGATTAGTTCACGGATTAGTAAACTGTTTACATGGCGCTATCAAATGCATTTGCACCCATTCATGTTAATGCCCCAGTGCTTTCAAATGGAGCCTTCGACAGAGAGCTACGTTGTACGCCATTTTCTCAATTGCTGACGTTGGTTACTCTTCACACTGATGGCGACCACGTGTCATAGCCTACTATCAGTGTACAGTTGGCCTCCCAACACTAATCACAACGTATGCCATTAAGGTCTATTAAAAACGTATATCTGTTACAAATTCATTCATGATAAAAAAAAAAGCCCGCTTTATCAGTAGGCCTATACATCTGAAGACGTACGTCATCTTACGTACGTATCTCCAGATGTATCACAAATATGCAAAAAAAAAATTCAAAAACAGCTATATCATACGTATAGTGTAATATTAAATATGCAACGCATACGTTCACACAACAGGTCTGTCAGCGGCAAACAGATGTATGGCTAAAGCGCGTAAACCAGGCAAACACATAAAACGCTGGTTCAACTGGTAAGAAAGCGGCCATAAAAACAACGTAAATGTATCAGCTGTACCTACCACAGAATTATTGAAACATATATGAGCAGCAGTATTTAAAATATTCACTGCAAATTATTTATTTGTATTATTTAGCACACATTATAGTTTTACTATATAGATTCTCCACAGGATGCAACGTTTTAAAACAATTTACCATCGAGTTATACGCCAGGTTAACAAGTGTAGCTCGGATGGATGTGAAAAAAAATGCGTTTAGGGTGTAAAGAGGTAAGAAGGAGAGTCGAGCTGGGTGGGGACGAAGGGGGAGACCTTTTTGTTCCACATAAACAGTCTTCTGCTCGCCATGCAAACTCCCCAGAACACAAATAAATACATTTCTGAGGATAATTTTAATTTTAAGCAGCAAAAGTTACAGTCTCATATCCACAATTACTTATAACTATCGGCAGAAACACGGATAAATTATATTTTAGACAACAAATCTTTCGAACTGTACAGTTTATGGAACATAGCCATGTATATTGGCTACGCTTTGTTTCTCCAGCGCTGACCTGAAGCGGCGTTCCCTACAAAGTCTACCATTTAAATATCCGCACAAAAGTACGAACAACGATGGTGTTCCAAAGTAATAGCAGCTTTTAAAACCACAGCGGGCTAGAAAACTAAATCTGTGTTGCATGAATCGTTTAAACGAATCAAGCACCGAGGCCTAGGCCTTACAGTAGGCCAAGGCCTAATCAACAGGGAACAAGTGATTGAAATGACACGGAGATCAGCATTGTTACATGTTTGACAAATATGCACGCATATGCCTAACGTGGAGACGACTCCCATATAGCGCTGTAGTAACTATGAATGTAACAGCACGTGGTGTAATGCTACGAGCATATGCCCCTTTTAACATCCGTCACGTGAAGAGAAACAAAGTATATTCGTATACAGAGAGCTAGACGCTTAAAAAGTAACAACTACTTAACTGTTACAACCAAACAGATCAGCAATTTAAGCACACCGCGAGATCCTACTTACACAGTACACATATTTGTATCACCGCCACGACATATATATACATTCAGCTTTTATATAGTACAGTAAGCAAACAATTGTCGAACTATTCAAGAGAAAGCAAATACCTCTGCTTCTTAGGGACAGAATGTTCGACCTCAATTCGTTTGCCGTGAAGTTCCACTTTACCTGGAAAAAGGAAATAAATTATTTTTTTTCTATTTTTTTTTACCCCACTCACAAAATGAGACCACAGCTTACTTAAATGGCCCTCATAATCCAAGCCAATTTTAAAACTAAAACATAATAAATGTGTGCCTCAAAGATTTCTATGTATGTTTCGTTATACCTCCCTGTGTGAAGAAATTTTATTTTTACTGTATAACTTGCATTGCGAATGGCCTAAACGAGCTTTTGAGGTGTTGTGGTCGCTAGGGTAGGTGTTAATAAAAAGTAATTCAACTAAAAAAAATAAATAAATAGAAATAAAAAAAATTAGTTGGCACAGGTCAAATGACAAAATTCTTAGGACGCTTTCAAGGTTCACTGGTCAGGGCTACACAAGCTATTGGCGTCAACTGTTTGACAGAATCCATATGTGTAGGGTATTATTTGTTGTTCGTGTCTACTTGAGATCTAAGAGGCATATAGCGATAAAAAGAACAGCTGAAGATGAATTAATCTTGACCGTGACTTCATGTGGTGGATAGTTTTAACTGGATCCTTATCGGCATGGCGACCTTCGTGCTATATAGAGCACACGTCACATGCTACATATATGGAGAACCGAGGAGAGACATATTTTGTGGTCAGTGGGACAGATGCAATGAAACTGCATGGTTAAAGTCAGCATATGAGAATGCTACATGGTCGGATGCGTTAAAGACAAGGTATCCCTCAGCATTGTGCCTGTTAACTCAATAGGGGCTTCACGAAACATGTTTCATTTTAGCTCCATTGGCCTATTAGCCAAAAGGGGGAGGGGTGAGACCGGATTCTATAGCTGTGCCGGGGTAGGTTGGACTAAACCTAAAGACTGAGCTTAGGAGAACCACGTCCTACAGTTTACAATCAGAACGACGCTAAATGCATAGTTATTTGCTAAAGTAGAGTACACTGCACGTTTTAAACCTGTCAGAGCAAAGAAAGTAAAGTCGTGGTAGATGTGTGCATGAATGCTTTTATTGTATGCAAACCCTCTCCTCTTAAAAGTTCACCATCTCAGGCACCTTTGCACTATAGAGCCTTACATTGCCCTGACTTCAATGGCAAAAAGTAGAAACATTGATTCATTTTCACAATAAAACCGAGATCCCCAGCAAAACAATAGATTTTGAAGTATAAACAAGCAAAACACTTATGGGAGGTTAACCAGGGTAAGTTACGAAAGAAAACCGGCGAAGAAGCAAACCGGTAACGAAAGGCCCATTAAAATCTATTTACTCACCAGAAAATGTTTCAATCGCTTTCATTGCCCATTGGTCGTCTGGGCAATCAACAAACGCATAGCCAGTTTTCATGAGAAACTGTCCAGAGTATGGGATCTTGTTATCTTCAAAGGTTTTAACCAAGTCCTCTGCAGTCACGTTTTCATTGAGATTTCCAATATATAGCTTGTTCATCGTGAAAAACTCTAACGCCCCCCCCCCAAAACAGAAATGAAAATAAAACTTTTCGGCAAAACGCTCTTAATTTTGGAAAAAAGGACTAAGACACCCGCAGATTACAAAATCATGTAGATGTCAGCCGGTTGGAATTAAAAACGAGGGGAAAAAAATCAAACTGCAAGACAATCCAAAATAAAAAGGGGAAAGTTCGACTAACAGTAACGTTGTAGTCTGATTAAGTCCTGCAGGCGAGTGGTAAATATTCTTCACTGTAGCAACCTTCGCGAATTCCCAGCACGGTGTAGAAATGATATCAGTTTGAATTAAGCTGATGTTTGTTACGATGGAATAGTGGCGAGCATATAGGCGGATCGCTGCCCCTCAACCTAAAGCTGTACCCTGCACTGTCACACAGATCCCACCGCTCGGCGATGGCACCGCCTCTAAAACCGAGTCGAATTTACTAATTTTTTTGTTTGCAAAGAAGAAACCACGTGGTCTCAGTGTAGCTAGAGAAGGGGCCGGTCCTCTGCTCTCTCTCGTGCGCGCGC